ATGAGTCTGGTCTTTTTAGGTGCCACATGTAAGTGAGGTCGTGCAGTGTCTTTCTCTGCCTGACCCGTCTCACTTAGCATACTACCCAAGGTCCATTCGTGTTGTCTCAAATGACAAAATTTCCTCCTTTTTTTTATGACTGAATACTATCTATTATTTTAGATAATAAGAAACTAACAGAAGCTGCGAAACAATAGCATCCCTCAGAATCAGAAAAAAATAAAATTCAGAAATGAAGCCATGGGAGAAAAAGGAACCTTTGAAAACAGATGGCAGAACTCAGAAAAGAATTAAAATAAGAACATTGTTTAAGAAACGAAGACTGAAATGAAAAGAAATATAAAAGCAAATAAATACTGCTTTCAGAAAAACAGACTATGGAAAGCAGGAACATTTAAAAATCAAAAAGAAACGTTGAGACGAAAAAAAAAAGATGTTAAGGGAAAATTATAGATGTAGAAAATAAGCAGGTAAGGTCCAAGACACGTATAATAGGCACCCCAGAAGAAAACCAAAACGGAACGCGTAACAAAAATGAGAATTCAAGAAAATTTCCTGAAATAGAAATGTTTTAAAAGTTCTTAAGAAATGAGCACACTGCTCCGAGTAGAAAACCAATGAACAAAGACCAAAAAGATGAGGATCTGGGGGTGTAACGTGAAGGGGCGAGGGAAGCTGTGAGAACCAAGAGTAAAATAAGCCAGTCACAGAAGGGCACAGACTGCGTGATTCTACCCAGGAGGGGTCCCTGCGGGAGTCAAATTCATAGACAGAAATTAAGGCGGTGGGTGCCGCGGGCAGGGGAGGGGGACGATGGGGAGGTCGTGTTTAATGGGGACAGACCGTCAGTTGAGACGATGAGAAAGTTCTGTGGATGGACGATGGTTGCACAACCACGTGAAGTCAGTGCCACAGAATGGCACACTTAAAAATGGTTAACGTGGCAAATTCTTTGTTAGGTGTTTTTTACCATAGTTTTTTTTTTTTAAGGATCGGAGTATTTTTTAAAATTTTTTAATGACTTAAAATACACATACGCCCTATTCAGTGTCATCTATTCAGCTGGCAGATAGAACCAGGCCTCAGGGAAAATTCCAGATCAAACTGCTGTCCTAGGAGCTACACAAGAAATCTTGAGTTTCATCTGGAAAATAGCGACTTCTTCCAGAAAGTTAGGAAACGTGGCCTCCCACAAACAGGGGACACTGGATCACTCGGACCTGAGAACAACTCTGCGATTTTGCACTAGCCCCAGGAAAACCTGTGACTGATCTGATGTGGGTGTCAGGGCACATCTTCATTTTATTTGCACGTTTGCACCAACGGCAGGGCCTGGACAGAACTCCAGAAAGGGACCTCGAGATTTCGGGCAGTGTCACCCCTGGCCTCCTGTTTCCCCCAGATCAGTGCCCAGGAGGGTCTGACAGCCACCCTGACCACCGGTAGCAGCCTGTGTCTTCTCTCTCACCTGGGACACCTGCCTAGGTTTCATAGGTATCAATTGTCACAATAAGCCACTGAAGGGGGCTGGGGTGACAGGGAGCTAAAAACCAGACCCCTCAAAGCAAGTAGGGAGCAAATTCTCACAATCCTCTTCCTTCCCCATCTCACTCCCCCATGTCCAGGTAGTGTGCCCTGGGATCATCATCCAAATAAACTACTCGCAGCCCCCCAAAAGAGTTAAGTATAGTTAAAGGAGGGGGTGACATACACACAGCACAGTGACAAAGGGGTGGACTGTGCTGGGCTGTCTGCCGGCCGCAGAGCATCCTCCTAGGGCGAGGAACTTTTTCCCAGAGTCCCCCGCTGGGGACACTGCGTTAGGACTTGCCAACAAGGATGGCTCGTGGGAGGTCTGGAGGGTGGAGCAAATGGGACCAGTAGTCTCAGATTCTTGCTGTGGCTCTGCAGACCCCTCCGTGAGCTCCTGCTTCGTGCTCCGGGCAGCCAGGTGGGGCAGTTTCCCTGGCTCCATCTCCTGTGCCAAAACCAGGATGCAAGCTGTTAGTGACCGGTTCTCTGATCCTCTGGCCACAGCCTTCCAGCCTTCCCAGACCCAGCCCACCCGCAGTCCCCTATTCACCCTCTTATTGCCCTGATAGTGGATGTGTCTGTTTCCTGATTCAAGTCAGGAAGAGAGAGAGACAGAGACGTGGAGAGGGAGAGGGAGAGGGAGAGGGAGAGACCATAGGGAAACCCATAGATTAAAACAGGGGGAAAGAAGCATATCAACTAATGAACCTTGTTTGGATACTGATGCACACACAAAATTCTCTAAGTGTAAAACAAGTGGATAGATGATAGATAGATAGATAGATAGATAGATAGATAGATAGATAGATAGATCTGAGCGTTGGCTGGATATTTATTGATTTTAAGAAATTACTGTTCATTATTTTTAGAAACGATAATAATGTCGCGGACTTTTCAAAGGTTTCTTATTTTTCGGTTCCATGCCAAATGGTCACAGATCAAATGATATGACAACTGGGATTTGCTCAGGCAGGGGTGGGTATGGAGGGAAGGGAGGGGCGGTAGCTGCCTGGCTGGGGGGCCTCATGTCCCCCCTGCCCTCTCCACATCCCCCTGGCCTCACGCACCCCCATTCGCCTGTGCAGCACGCCTTCCCGCCTCAGGGCCTTTGCTCGTACTGTCTCTGCTGCTGGAAAGCCTTCTTTCTCTCTCACCTGAGTCCCTCCTGCTCGACTGTGTCCACGTGCTCCGATGTCACCTCCTCAGAGACGCTGTCCTGATCTCTCTGGTTGGCTGGCCCCGGTGCCTTCTGTTCAAGTGTGGTTTTCCACGTGTTTGGGTCACCCGATTCTTTCGCTTCCTGGCACAAAGTCAGCTCCCTGGGGGCAGACACCTGGTCTGCCGTGTCCAGCAGCCTGGAGCACTCTGGGAGCATAGCAGGTGCTCTGTGAATATCCGCAGTGTGAGAGGACTGTGTGCTCGGCTGGCTCAGGGGGGCCGCCCAGCGTCCAGGGAGCAGCTGGGGACCCCAGAAGGGTCCCCGCAGGAGACAGCCCCGCCCAGAACCAGCCTCCTGCCCCCAGGAACCCCCAGGAGAGGAGGATCCTGGCCTGAGGGTTTCTGGGGTGGCGTATGGGAACACGGAGTCCATCTGCGAAGCCAATGGCAGAGGACAATTAAAAAAATAAATTTCCTTTCTTGAGGGAGGGCAGGCGAGGGCTCCTGACGGCAGGATAGTGGCCGTTCAGAGCGCGAGGGAAAATGCGAGAGCTGGGGGAGGAGAGACCGGGTCTGAGCAGGAAAGGCCAGCCCTGGGCCGGCCACCTCGGGACTGGGCCCTAAGCCTTGCAGAGGGCACGGCTGAATGATGCCCACACGCCGAACCTGGGCGGAGAGCTTCTGAGGTGCACAGAGGTCATTTTATTTCCCACCCCGACAGGTGAGGAAACCGAGATTGACAGTGTAAGCAGCCAGGGAGCCCCACACGCCAGCGGGGGGAGGGGGGGCTCGCTCCACTGTCCCTGCAGGAGCCCAGCCTCAGGTTTAGGGACACCTGGAGGCGACAGAACAGCAGCAAACCCTAGCAGAGGCCGATATCCCATTTACAAGCACCTCTCGTTCGTTTGGAAAGAAACAAATTTCCACACCAAATAAGGCAGCGGACCTCGGAGCCGCTGCCCACTTCACACAATTCCTTTTAAGTGTCCAAATGCAATTACACTTGGAACTTGCCTGGACTGGGCCTCCCCGGCCTCCCCCCAGCCCCTGGCCTCCCTACATAAACAAGAGCCCAGCTGGGCCCCAGCTGGTCTGCCCCGGGGAGGAAGGGAGGGTCACTAGCTGCCTGCAGCCTCCGGGCCTCTCAGCCCAAGGCGTGGCCGTGAGCTTCAGCGTCCTAGAGGTCTCCTATGTGCCCCTCCCCGCCAGGAGGTCGCCGGCCGCGCGGGAGCGATTCATACCCGCTCCTGCCTCTGAGATTTGCACCTGGGCAGGCACGCGAGTCCTCCTGGGGGCTGGAAGCCCGCAGCCCCCGGGCAGGTGCAAGGCGAGCTCTATTTCCGGTTCACCTCAGGATGCCCAAGGAGGCACGCACCCCCCTCCCCCCACACACACACACACGCAAACTGGGCATCATCCGTTCCCGCAGGGAAAGCACAGGCCGGAATTCCCTCGGGCTCCCTGGGCCGTGAGAAAGTTGGCCCACAGCAGGAGGGGTGAGGGGGCTCCCGAGGGGCTCCCTGGGAAGCCAGTCCTCACCACCGGGTCCTTCTGGCACCCCTCGGGCTCCTGCACCACCCCCACCCCAGGCTTTGGCCCGGTGCCCCAGGCCCCCGAGGGTGCTCGTGGGGGGTGGGGCCGAGGTTGACTCATCCGCGGAAGGGCACACGCGCCAATCCCCCGCTCGCTGGGCGCAGGGAGCGCAATGATTTTCCACTGGCGCCATCTGATTGCTATTAGGGCTGCGGGAAGGGAATTCCTGGCTCCATAAGCCCGCGGGGGGCCTGGGCAGAGTGCGGGGGAAGAGTGGGGTGCCCCCTGGGTGGCCCCACGGACCTGCTGCCAAGTCTACCTCTCAGAAGTGCCTGCAGCACCCTGTCCCTGGAGCCCTCGCCGGCCGCCTCCCCGCCTCTCCTTCAGCCCCTCAGTGCCTCTGATCGTCCGGGCGGGTCCCCCACCCTACCCTCCAGCCCGCACGCCTTTGTGGGCGCCCACGGAAGGCACCAGGCAAGTGGACAGCTGGGCGCTCCCTCTCCCGCGCAGCCCCGCCGAGCTGCAGGACGCTCGAGAGAGTAACAGCTGGACTCGCGCCGCAGTGCTCGGGCCAACATGACGTCACGGGGCAGGGAGATGAGTTCCCAGTGGGGCTCTGGGGGGGGCTCCCGAGTGGGGCATTCTTTCCTGAAGCCTCATCCCGGCTCAGCCCCTCCTCCTCCTCCCCTCCCCCTCCCCGCGGGGCCTGGAATTGGGTTTGGGGCGGGTTCAGCTCCCAGAGCCGACTTCTGCGTCTTCCCGTCTTCTCTCTTCTCCGGAGGCAGGCAAGGGCTCGCCTCCGCTCTGAGCGCGCCTTTTCCGAGGCTGCCGCCCTGCTCTGCGCTGGCCTGCTGGCCTGCTGTGGGTCTGGGTCGGGGCCAGAGGCGGGCGTCACCGACGAAGCCACACAGAGAAGGCCCTGGAGGACCAGGACGGCTGCAGGTAGCTCCGTGGGGCCCACGGCCCAGGGGAGGGAAGCCCAGGAACAGGGCTGCAGGGCGAAGGCCAGGAGAACCAGGCAGGCACCTTAGGGACCAGGCAGCTCCCAGAAGCCACACAGCCCCACGCAGAAGCCCTGAGACCCCAGAGAGGGCTGTCACCTCCCTACGGCCTCCTGCAACACTCTGGAGGCTCCAGGCGTTCCAGGGACATTGGGGACCTTGGGGAGTCCTCCTTCCGTGTGGCAGGCCCTGGTGTTCTGGCAGTTTCTGACCCCCAGGCTGTCCTCCACTTCCTGCTCTGTCCTCCTGTGGATGGGGGCTCCCCCTCTGTCCCTCCGCCACCCTCGCCAGCAGCTGTCCAAGCCTGGAAGGGTGGGGAGGGAACGCCCAGCGGGCAGCGTCCCAAGCGTGGTGAGGTGGCTTCCTCTGCTCTCACGCACTGTGCACCCCCGCACTCCCCTTTCCGTGGGTGCCGAGCCCCGGCAGCTGTGGGGCCGGGCCTGGGCTGCACGCCACGGTGGGGTCAGCCTCATAGGAGGCTGAGAGGCTGCGTCCCACCTTCTCCCCGGCCGGAGGCTCCTGATGTGGGGCTGGCGCTGGACGGGGGCCTGTCGTGAGATCTGGAAGGTCTCGCTCCCCCCATAAGCCTCTTCAACCCAGGCTGTGAGCAGGGGACTTCAGGGCCCCGGGGGGGAGTGACAGCCAGTGCTCTCAGGCCCGGCCCTGTGGCAGTCTGGGGACAAGGAGAGGGGCTGGGAAGAGGGATTGGAGAATTGGAGTCTGAGGTTCCCACCTGGGCCTCCTGGAGGACAGGCTCACCTAGCGGCCTTGGGGCCGGCATCGGATCGGGTCTGGGTGGTGGCGGGGTGCGGGTGCCAGGAGATGAGGCGCTTCCTGAGGCCAGAGGAGGCAGACAGGTGACTGCGGCCATGCCTGGCCTTGTGTTTTGAGGGGAGGGTCAAGAGCGAGCTGAGCTGGCAGCTTTCGCCTCTTTTCGTTGTGTTTTGGTCAGCTTTACAGAAGCACGCTCTGTCACGGGCCGGCTCCCGACCTGAGGAGCACACGCGCTCACACACACACACTCACGCTCACGTGCACTCACACGTGTCCCATGCACATGTCACACACATGTCTTTTCCTGGCCCATCTGGGGTCCACTTGGCTTCTAGATCACTCATGAAGGCAATCGCTTTTCCGATTGCCCGTGGCCGGCAAGACGAGGGCTCAGGGACACACCAGGGCCGCCCGCCTGCCCAGCCAATCAGCAGAGGTGAGCTCGGGTGGACAACACGACACACCCGGCCCCAGCAAGGCATCCTGGGCAGGTCCCAGCCAGCTGCCCTTGGGGGCACCTGTGTAGTTGGGTGGCTAACCCACCCAGGTGTAAAGGCAGGACTGTGGACAGTCAGGACACCCCGGGGCCAAGCTGGGAGCCCAGCCCTAAGGGGTGGTGCATGTCTAGAAAGGCCTCCAAGAAGAGTGGGTGCAGTGCAGGGGGCATACCTGGGCCCAGGAAGGATGGGGTGAGGCAGGTAGGTTTGGGGTTGCAGGCACCGGGAGAGCCAGGGCAAGCCCCAGAGCCCGGGGAGGCTCCAGGCCTGTCTGTGGCAATGGGGACACGTGGCCCGATGTGCCGGTTGCGGGGTGGGTTAGAGATGCACACCTCCTAGCACCTGCTCTCTGCACATGCGCACTGCAAACGCATCGCGAACTCGCTCACTTATTCTGGAGCACAAGGGCTCCCCACAGCCCCACCCGTAACCGTCCTGGGGCACCCGTGCAGCCCCTACGCTGTCAGGGCGAGGTCCAGGGTGGTGCCGTCCCATAGTGCGTGGGAGGGGTATGCCTCGGGGAGGCGCTGTTTTCCCCCCTCCCAGAACCAAGGGTAAAGAGGGTGGGCCATCCACACAGACCACCACCCTTCCCAGCCAGCAGTGGGCGTGCCTGCTGAGGCTCCGCCCTGCTCTAGGGAGTGGTGGCTATGGGGGGGTGTGGCACCCTTGACCCCGGCAGAGGAAGGAATTCCCAGCCTGGGGGGGGCGGGGGGGGGCTGCCCAGCGCTCCTTCCAGGTTGCGGGGAGCGTCTAGCAGCCTGCCGCAGCGACCCTGTCCCCGCAAAGCCCCTTCTCTGCTCACAGCCTCAGTTTTCCCACCTGCACGATGGGAGGGGTAGATGCTTGCCTGTGGGGGCAGAGCTCAGGTTGAGGGACAGTAGTCAATTCAAGGGGAGCCCCGGGCGGGTGGACCAACAAGCTCTGCCGGCCAGGGTGGAGCAGCCTCTGGCAGGCACCCGCCCCCTCCCGGACTGCCGCCCCCACAGACCTCCCCACCTGCATCCTGGCAGAGTCCAGCTGCCCCTCCACCAGGTGGCAGTGGCTTCCTAACTTGCTCCCTCCAACCGCTCCTGCCTCCCAGCTGCCTCCACACAAACCTGCGAGCTGCAGTGTGTGCGGTGGTTATGGCGTGTGCCCCTGGGCAGGTGATCTCACCTCCTTGAGCCTCAGTGCCCCCATCAAAGCAGAGTGACCATACCTGCCTCAGAGCTGGCAGCAAGGACCAAATGGGAAGATGGGTGTCGGCTGGCTGGCACTCACTGACATGGCTGATGGTGGTGACAGTGATGCTGGTGATGACTGAGCTGTCCTGCCTGCAAGGCACCTGTGGCAGAAAAGCCAGACACCTTAGCGTGCTATAAGCACAAGGCCCAGCCAAAGACTTCCTCCACCAGGAAACCTCCCTGCTTTCTGCGACCGACCGCTGGTAGCCCCTGTCCCACCACAGCCTGAGCACAAAGGAGGTGCCCGGGAAATACGTGCGGCTCCAGGACCCTGGCAGCCCTAGCGGGAAGTGGGAAGGAGGGCGGCTTGTCGCTCATCGAGGTCTCATCAGCACGTCAGCAGGGCGGAGGAGCCCGGGCAGGAGGCCCGCAGAGCAGCCACCGTGCCTCCCGCCCTCCAGCCCCCGAGGGAGCCAGGGGACTGCTCTCAGCCTTTCCTCCAAGGCGGGAGCCCTCGGGGCCTGGGGACGGGTCAGAGTCGGGGTGGACTCTGCCGCCAGGATGTGGCCCTTTCTGCCTTCGCCAGGTGGGGCGTGCCGGCCGGCCGGTGAGCTGTGAGCAGGGCCGTGAGGAATCCGAGCTCGGCCGGCCTGGAGATGGCTGGAAACTGCTCCTGGGAGGCGCACCCTTCCAACAGGAACAAGGTAAGTGCCAGCGGAGCACGGCAGGGGCTCCGTGGCCCCAGGTCTGCGGCGTGGGTGCGGTGGGTGTGCTCAGCCCAGCTCCCCCGACACACTGCACTGCCCAGGCCCTACCTCAGGCGGGCAGCAGGGCCCTTTGGACCACATGGCACTCACTGGCTACCAGGTCCCTCTGCTGTCCAGTGTCCTCACCGGGTCACTGGGCACCCTCAAATCCCTTCCTGGGCCGCCTCGAGGGCCTCCCTTACCAACCCAGAGCCTTTTCATCTCTTCCCCGTGGAGATGGGGTGGTCAGCTCTCCCCCTGAGGGGCCGGCTCCAAGGTGGCCCTGATGTCACGTGCTCCACAGAGCACTGCCCGCTCAGGCTGCCGGGCCGGTGTTGCTCAAGGCCGGAGTCCATTAGTCACGGTCACTCCCACCCCCCCGTTAGCCTTCAGGCCCCGCCCTGGACCCCTACTTCCCGGAGGCCCTTGAACTTGGGAATTTCCTTCTGAATTGGGGCAACACATGGACAAGCCGGAAGGACCTCCGAGCCCACCTCGTGTGGCCTCTTCGCCATCTGAGGAAACCGAGGCCCCCGTCAGCTTGGGAGGCTGGCTGGGGTGAGCCTGGATGCCAGGCCAGAGGTGGACACCTGCCTGGGCCCTGAACCCAGCCTGGCATTTCCCTCCTCTGATGGCGACCACCAGAGTGGCAGCAGTGGGGAGCAGAGATGGCACCGAGGGGTGGGGGACTCCACCAATCTGGAGAAAAGGCAGAGCAGGGGATGGGGGAGCAGGCTCCAGAGCAGACCTTTCACAGGGCGGGACGCATGGGGGACGGCAGCCCCACGCCCGGTGACTCACCAGACCGCCCTCCCGACGGATGCAGGGACCGAGGACAGGATTGCACACTTTTTCCAGCCTGGAGAGGCACTGGGTGACCTGATCTGACTGACCCAGGCCTGGTGTAGGCTCAGGTCTCATGAATTACAGGGGGTCTGGCCCCCCGCTGAGAGGAGGCTCCTCTGTGCCCCGGAGTGGTCAAAGCCACCCACAGAGCAGGCCCCGAGCAGCAGAGCAAGCTAAGGGGCTTGGGGGTTGACAGAGGCCCCCTTGAATAGCTTGCCTTGGCCTCACAGGCTCCCCACGGTCTGGCCAACACCCTCCAGCCACTGTGTGCTGGTTCCCCTTAACCTGGCTCAGAAGTCCCCTCCCTTCGTTACAAGGTGTCAGGCCCAGAGAGCAGCCCTTCAGGACCCAGCTTTCTGCCAGAGCTGGGGCCCTCTGGACGGTGACAGAATTGCCTCAAGAACCTTCCCGTTTGTTCTGTTTTGGAGAGTCATGAGCCATGGGAACTGGTGCCCAGCCCTGGACGGAGGGAGGAGGGTGGGGGGTGGGGCACAGGGCCGAGGCCAGGTCGGCCTGGGCCGTCAAGTGCCGGGATGGATTCGTGATGTCGGCCAGGGTCTGGGAAGGGGAGTGACAGCACTCCCAGCAGCCTCTGCGCTTGGAGTGAGAGGTCAAAATCCACAGCCTGGGAACGGAATCTCGGTGGTGGCTGTGTTGTGTTTGGCCCGCACGGTGTGTTTTAAACGTGAACGTTTTTAAAGAGCAGGGCAGTCACAACACACTCCAGGGTCCTGGCTTTTCTGGGGACGAGGGAGGGACGAGCGGGGCTGGAGCAGGGCAGCTGCCCACCTGCTGGGGACAGGGGCTCCCGGGTCTGGCAGGACCGATGCGCTCTGCGCTCAGACGGGGTGTGAAGATACTGAGCTTCCCCTACAGCTTGCTGAGTAGCCGCTGCCACGAGCCTCTCCCCTCCCTAGAGACCCCAGGCCAGGTCCAGAAACCCACAGGGCCACCCTGGCCCAGCGAGGACCCGCTCTCATTCCCCGGGCATCTCCGATCCCGCTATGCACCACGTCCACTGGTTTTTTCTTTTTTTTTGTAACTTACAAAGCAATTTTTTTAAATCAATATTTTCACATGTCAGTGTGAAAATTTGCACGCGTCCAGGAAGTTTGAGAGAACAGTGCACTGCACGCCCACAGGCCCTTTACCAACTCGTTAGTCGCTAACTTTTCTCCGCACGGACTTTCTCGCTCCGTCTCTCTCGATAGACTTTTTCTCCCCCAACTATTGGGAGTGAACTGCAGACTCCGAGCCCCTTTACTGCCCCTGCCCCCAACAGCCTGTTTCCTTTAAGATCAAGGACGTCCTGTTCACGGCCACAGTGCATCTTCCTACTGATGGGATCCTGTCCCCTATGCCGAGCCCACACCCACAGCCGCCCCCAGGTTGTCCCAGAAATGTCCTTTGCTGCAGCCGTCAGGCCCCCCGTAAAACCCAGGGTCACAGCACCACGTTATCAGTCTGTCTCCTGAGTCCCCCTCCACCCGGAACGCTCCTCGGTGCTTCACCACCTTGCATGGCATGGGCATTTTTTGACCAGTGTCCGCTCGGACAGGTGGGCGGCCCGGTGCCCTTATAAGTGATGGGTTATTGTCACGGTCACTCCCGTGGGCCACTAGCTCCCGACTCTGGGACACAGAGCGGAGGCACCACATGCGATCAAGGGTGTCTTCTGCTCTAGCTGGAGCCAAGTAGTTGCCCCAGAGCCAGAGGCTCCTCAAGCGGTAATGAGGACCGGCGGCCCTGGACGCAGGTGCAGGTCGGGCCTCACCAGGTGTCCTCCCTCCGCGGCCGCACAGGTGTGTCCGGGCGTGAGCGAGGCCCCGGAGCTGTACAGCCGCGGCTTCCTGACCATCGAGCAGATCGCCATGCTGCCGCCGCCAGCCGTCATGAACTACATCTTCCTGCTCCTCTGCCTGTGCGGCCTCGTGGGCAACGGGCTGGTGCTCTGGTTTTTCGGCTTCTCCATCAAAAGGAGCCCCTTCTCCGTCTATTTCCTGCACCTGGCCAGCGCCGACACGGGCTACCTCTTTAGCAAGGCCGTGCTGTCCGCGCTGAACGCGGGGGGCTTCCTGGGCGCCTTTGCCGACTACGTCCGTGCCGCGTCCAGGATCCTGGGGCTCTGCACGTTTGTCGCCGGCGTGAGCCTCCTGCCAGCCATCAGCTCGGAGCGCTGCCTGTCCGTCATCTTTCCCGCCTGGTACTGGCGCCGGCGGCCCAAGCGCCTGTCGGCCGTGGTGTGCGCCCTGCTCTGGACCCTGTCCCTCCTGGTCACCGGCATCCACAACTACTTCTGCGTGTTCCTGGGCCGCCAGGCCCCCGGCACGGCCTGCAGGCACGTGGACGTCTTCCTGGGCATCTTGCTCTTCCTGGTCTTCTGCCCGCTTATGGTGCTGCCCTGCCTGGCGCTCATCGTTCACGTGGAGTGCCGGGCCCGGAGGCGCCAGCGCTCCGCCAAGCTCAACCACGTCGTCCTAGCCATGGTGTCGGTCTTCCTGGTGTCCTCCATCTACCTAGGGATCGACTGGTTCCTCTTCTGGGTCTTCCAGATCCCGGCCCCCTTCCCCGAGTACGTCACCGACCTGTGCATCTGCATCAACAGCGGCGCCAAGCCCGTCATCTACTTCCTGGCCGGGAGGGACAAGTCGCAGCGGCTGTGGGAGCCTCTCAGGGTGGTCTTCCAGCGGGCCCTGCGAGACGGCGCTGAGCTGGGGGAGACGGGGGGCAGCATGCCCAACACGGTCGCCATGGAGATGCAGTGCCCCTCTGGGAATGCCTCCTGAGAGGCAAGCACCTGGGGGAGGGGCAGGGGCCAGGGGCAGCCACCCTGGTGCCCTGGTGTGAGCGGAGTCTGCATCCCGCCATCAGGCGCTTCTTGCCCCCTGGGCTGGAGGCTCCGTGGGTGGCCACGAGACTGAGGAGCCACCCGCAAATAGACGATGTGGCCCTGCCAGGCTCCCCCCAGCCACTGTCCCCCATCAGCAACCCGTTGTACAGAAGTCGCCCCCAGGTGCGGGAGGTTTCTCCTCACCACAGCTTGGTCTGGGAGGGAGAGGTGAGGGGCCACCCAGCCCCGTCCACCTCCTGCCCTTTACATCAGCTGAAAATGACGCAGCCATCACCGTCACCAGTCAGGCCACCGACTCCCTCCCTGCCTCCGGGTACCTGTTCTCACCATCTGGGGCAGCGTCAGCGGCAGACCCGGACGGGGCGGTGCTGTCTGGGGCTGGGCTCTGGGGGACCCGCCTCGTAGCTCGGCCTTTCTGTGCGTGACATCCCTGCCCCCTTGATGGAGCCTGAGGTGATCTAAATGGGTGCGATTCTGGTCATGGCGAGCAGCTGGGGATGGGAAGGACCTTCAGCCAGCTTGGGTAGCTCGCTCTCTTTTCTGACTCTGTGCCAGCCAGCCCTGGCAGCCCCCCGGAGCATGCGGTGTGTCCCAGCTGCTGTCCGCCTGGTCCTCAGGCGCCTGTAGACCACCCAGGCAGCCTCTGGGCTCCAGCCCCCACCCCAAAGTGGGCACTGGCTCTGCCTGGCCAGCCCAGCCCACCGGCAAGCACGGTGGCCCAGCGTAGCCAAAGCAAATTTTATGAAACAATAAATGTACATCAATAAACGTTTTATATCTCACTGCCTCTGTCCTGGCTGTGGTCTGGTGCCCTCACTAAGGACATTCTCAGGTAACTGGACGCCCCGACAGGCAGGCTTTCCGTGCCACCCCCTAAAACCTCTGTCCCCCAGCTCCTGTGCCCACGCTCCCGGCAGATCTGTCCTCACCTCTCCCGACCTGGAGTGCGTGTTGGTGGGTCAGCCACACCATCCTCTGCTGGCGGGCCACAGCACCCTCCCACCCGGGCCCCCTGCTCCCCCCGGGACCCTCATTTCTTGTCACACGTCCTAGGAGCCGAGCCCTGTGCTGGCTACCATGGCCTCTGCCCGTGGGAGCACTGTATGTCCACATGGAGGCCCCCTGCGGTGGGGGGCTGCACCTTTGCCTATTGCTTCCCATCCAGAACTCTGTCCCAAACTCCTGGAGGCAGGACTGTCCCCCTTTGCCCGGCCCCTCCCTGCTCTTCAGCAGAGGCTGGAGCTGCTCCCAGGAGACGGCCCCCCTTGGGCCGGAAAGCGTCCTGCCTGCCCCCTTGGGGCCCCCGGTGTCCAGCCTGGGCCCCTGGCCCCTGGCCCCTTTACTGCTCACTGCGCAGGCCCGAGGGGAGGCCAGGGCAGGGCTGAAGCAGGCCGCCCTCCTCCGCAGAGAGCAGGGAGCAGGCAGGGAGGGCCAGTGTCCCAGCTCTGGGCAGGAGGGGTGGCTAATGGAGCGGACAGCCCAGCCCAGCGAGGGAGCAGCACTGCCTGTGGCTGGCATCTGCCACAGACCTGGCCGGCTCTGGCCGGCTCTGGTGGTTCCAGCGCAGGGGGCTGCAGCCCTACCTCAGACAGGCTGACCTCCCTGATGACCGGCCCCCAGGAAGCCCGACTCAACCCTCCTGGCCATGCCAGGCCACTGCTCCCAAGCACCCCTTTCCAATAGTCCCGGCTGCTCCTCCCAGCTCGGCCGCTGCTCTGTGGAGAGCGGGGCCCCCACGTGGTTCTAAGAGCTTCAGCCGACCAAGGTGGGTGCCACCTGCTCTCCTACAGCACCCGGGTGCACCTCCCCACCCTCCCGCTCACCCCTCCCATGCCACCCAGAGAATTCCAGAAGAGCAGAGCTGGGGGCCGCCACGCCTGACGCTGTTGGGGACTCCGAGAAGCCAGGCGGAGGCCTGAGAACACGCATGAGGAGGTGGGGCCAGGACCCCGGCCCCCCAACACATAGCTTCCATTACCTTCCTCACAGGAGGAGCTATGCCCGGGCCTGAAGGGCGCTGAGGGTCTTGGCCTGGAGGTTTGGGGGCCTGGCTCCTCAGTCCTGGGTCACCTCTTCCTCAGGAGCACCCCCAGACCTCAGCTCTGTGCCTGGCAGGGAGCTGCCCCTCCCCCCACAGCTTGACGGGGACCTCTCTGACCCGGCCAGGTAGGAGGGCGGGCAGCCCTCACCCAGCACCAGGGCCCGGAGGTGAGGAAGGGCTGGGCCCCTGCAAACACACACCTGCCCTCTTGGGCGCCGGGTCTGGGGGGCGTTGGTGAACTCCAGGAATCGGGCCTCTCCCAGCCAGTGAACTCTTCTCATGAGCCACCACTGCAGCCAGGCTGGGGAGCGAGCCTGCCTCTGCCCACCGCCCAGTCCCGGGGCGATTCGGGCACCTCATGCCTGCGCCCTGGCCCACCTCAGTCCTGTGCTAATGGATGGGGAGGGGCTGGTGACGGCAGAGGAAGGAGCAGACCCTTCCGCCCCCACGGGACAGGCAGGGGAGGGGCGGGGCGGACAGGGTGGGCCCGGGGCACAGTGGCGCTCTACGCTCTCAGGCTTCCCGTCACCACCATCTCCACGTAAATGAGCAAGTAGAGAAGCGGACTCTTTTAGACATGCCAGGGACGAATGGGGACACATTCGGAGACCCAAGAGTAAGCCTGGGGCAGGCGGGGCTCCCACCCGCCAGCCACGGGACCTCGGTCTTGCTGTGCCTCAGTTTCCTCCAGCACCGTGGTTGGGCCGGGCACTGGGTAGAAGGAAGGGAGCGTGGTGGCCACGGGAGGAGGGACGTCCACGGAACAGCCTGTCCCGAGGGCTGGCGGTCAGGGCCGTGAGTGCCACTTGTCAGGACCTGCCACGTGTGGTGGCCCCGCGCTAAGCCCCACGCACAGATCCCATCTGACGGTCACAGCGGGGCCCCCGTCAGCGCCCGCGTGGACGGAGCCAGGGCTCACGAACGAACGGCCTCCTCGTCCACGGTCGGTGCCGCCAGGTGGGCGGCCCGGCCGGAGCCCCACGCTCCGCCCACAGGAAGCTCGGCCTCTGACCTTTGTGTTTCAGCAAAGCACTGGGAGTTGGTGGGGGGAGGGGACGCGCCAAGTAGACAGGACATGCCCACCCCAGCCCGAGGAGTCCACACTCAGCCGAGACCACAGGGGCGGCTCCATTCAGGTCTCGGCATCAGAAGTGAGGATCGGACAGGGACATGTGTTCTCCAGACGGCCCAGCAAATGGCCTGAAAGCGGATGCCCCTTCCTGTCTTCATCGTCCGTCTGCCGAAGGAGAAGCGGGGCGCCTCCCTGGCACCGCCCGCCTTCCCCAATGCCCTGCCGGCTGTGGTTTCAAGACGACTTGGGTGCGACAGTGCATGACAGAATGTTAAAGCCCAAGATCTGGCAGACGCACAGGTCAGTTCACACCACGCAGCCCCGAGGGTCCCTTCCGGCCAGGGACCAAGGGCTTCATCTGGAAGGCGGGGCGGGGAGACGGTGCGTTTACGGTGCAGGCTCTCGATACCCCGGGAAATGTGCCCGTGACACGTGATGACAAGGCCAGGAAGCGATGCGAACCTATCACGGAGCTCTGCCCGAGCCAACCGACAATGCGAGCGCCAAACGTCACACGCTAAGCCAGCGGGGGCCGCAGCAGACGGCCGGGCACGGCTCCCAGACCTCGGACTGGCGGAAACGCTGCTTCGCGGCTCAGCAGGCCAGCGCCACGCTCCCTGGCCACTCCGGAGAGGCTGACCGGCTCGGGCTGGGTTGTTTTTATTTTTTAATCTTTGTGATTGGCTTAATCGCAGTCTAATTTATATACAGTAACGTGCACCCGTTTGGTATGTAGTTCAGTCATCTTTGACATATGTCAATCTATGGAATGTTTCCCTTCCTTCCCCCACAAATCTCATAGTGAACCCAAGACATCCGGCCCCTCACTCCGGCTCTGAATTTAATCTAGTTGAGGGGAGTGTAGATGTGGGGTGGGGAGAGGGGGGGGTAAGGGTCGTAGCTGAGGGGCGGGGTGTAGGTGGGAAGTGGGGAGTATATGTGGGGGTGGGTGTAGAAGTGGAAGTGTGGGGTATAGGTGGGGGTATAGGTGAAGGGCGGGGTGTAGGTGGGAAGT